TATTTGGTGCCCGTGCACAGTGGAAGCATTCTCCCGTCAGTGATGTCCATGTCACCTCTGTTTTTGTTTTTTGTTTTGTCCCGTTTCCTTTTGATACTCTGCGTCTCCAGCGCCTTCGTGCAGTCCTCCTAAAGGCAACGCAGCAATGATTCCTACCAATCCTGTTATCTAAAAGAGACAGAAAAGTCAGTGAGCGAGGACGTGACTGAGGGAACCGTGAACAATGTTACCGGGTTTTTTTGTAAGCAGGCACAACAGTCTTTGTACAATCACTGTGTGTAAAGGAAACCACCCGTCGGTTATCTAGGAGGCAGAAAAACAAGATAAACACCAGGAAAAAGATAAAAAGCCAGAAGGAGAATTTTGCAAACAAAGGTTGCCATGCATCTTTGACCAAAACAGAAAAAGCGCGGCATAATCTGGGAATTGTACTGCAGTCCTTTATAGCTGATGCTGTTCATTTTTCCAGATACAGTTAATTTACCAGTTAGGATGCACCAGCTGTACAAAACCATGTGAAAAAAATTACAGACTTGCAATCATCACACTTACTTAGTCTGCTGGTAAGAGTAGGCTGTGGCGTGATCTCCTGTGTTCTCCACAGGTAAAGGCTGCTGCCCACTGGCGTCCTGTGAGGAGGGGGCAGCTGTCTGTGGAGAGGGGTCTGTCACCACACCCTGAACAGGGGGGAAAAGCCAGATATTAAGGAACAAAAGAAAGCCTCGAAACTTTGGGCAATCATATAAAAGTAGGGACTCCTTTATGGCACATAGATAAGGAATCCAAAGAGAAAAATTGAATTAGCTTTTTTTTTAAAGGTGACAGGTTGATCTGGTGCGGTCAGTTTTCTGTCTGTGATTTTAACTTTATATACTTGTGAACTTGTAAAACAGCTCCTCTGATCTTTGGGGAGGGTTTGGTGTAAATTATTTCTCTCATTGAAGTATACGGATTGCCAAAGGCTAAGCAAGACTAATATATCACAAAATATATATGTTTAATCAGCAGTTTTCATTTCAAATGAAAGTTTGCAGGTTGTTTCGGTCCTTACGTCCATTGTGATGGCCGAGGCAGGCACTGCAGTGTACTGGGGAATGTAGGTTCCTTGCATAGGAGCAGCCGCTGCAGCAGGCATGTACTACAGATAAAAGGGGAAGAACACAGACTGTGTCATTTGTCTTATGGTCATTTCACATTTTAGACTGAAAACAGAAGCACCGGGGCAGTTTTCCTCTGCTCTAGCGCTTCTACTCTGAGAAAAACACTGAAACTGCGGGTGTACAATTATATTACACATATAACTCAAAGGATAAAACAAACACATGCACACACAGCACGATGAGCTGACTGGCCAAAGGGGAGACTTACAGTGCCTGTTGGGCCCAGAGACAGGTGGTTCATCTGCTGGGTTAGAGGAGCCATTACACTGGAGGGGTGAATAGACAAACTGGGCTCAATGGCAGCAGCTGGAGTGATCACAGCACCCTGGAGTAGAAATGGAAGGATACAAATCCAGTCAGCTTATAGCTAATAACTGTTATTTGGAGTCAAAAGTGATTTGGAGTCACTCAGTGATATTTAATTCAGATGCAGGAATCAATATATGATCAGATGGTGGAGAAAGGAAATTAAATCGGA